AAGACAGACTTTTCACCACAGGAACACTGAGGCCTGGGAGGCAGAGAAGGAGCCCCACGACCCCCAGATAGCCTGAGAGCTAGTGCTTCTTTCCTTTAGGTAACAGGACCCAAATCTCAGAGCTGCTGGCAGCTAAGCAGGGGTGCGAACTCAGCAGAGCACACTCTAGTGTCAGGCCCACTTCTTCCCTACCCACTGCCCTGCTCCTGTCCTCCCAGCATATATATACACACTTGCCAGACACCTGCATTGGGCTCTTTTGGTTCCTGCCTGGGCACCACTGCTCAGCCTCTCACACAAGCATGGGAGAACTACGAAGGCAACTCACCCCCACCACATACATACCCAAATGCATGCACGAGTGCACACACACACCACACCCTATAGGGTAGGGCAGTGGATGGAGGCGCACCCTCTAATGATGTCTGAGGTATCACCAGCAGCATGGAGTCCCTCACTTTTCCCTGTCCCACAAACCCTAGAAGTTACTGTTTCCTAGTGCCCCCAACTCCTTCCCCCGCTGAAATGATTCCTCTAATTAAACCACCGGGCACGCTCTGGCTCTGCGCTGCGTTCAGGGCCCTCCTGGTGCCTGGTCCCAGGGGGACTCATGATCTTCTCCCCTCCCTCCGCCTCCTGCCCATGGGGCCCCAGTGTTCTGCTCTGGCCTATTGTTTGCTGCATTCAGGAGCCACCGTGTCCCCTGGGGGTGCAGGGCAAACTACTCTTGTTTATCCAATAACAATTAATTCTCAGCAATCATGGCAGACTTGAACCGGGCAAACAAGATGGGAGGCTTTCAGCAAAGACTACCCCATAAACCTTCAGCAAGGTCTACCCCATAGGGCTGGGGTTGGCATGGTGTAAGGGTCGGGACTCCCTCCTGGCTTCAGTCCATAACCATAGTTCTGGTTTTCCTCAAGGATAGGTGCGAGGGACAAGTCACCCAGGCATTTTAAAGTCAGATTTACAGCATTTGAATTTAAGCATGTTGCCCAGGTCTTACCGTCACAATGGACTGCTGAAAACACCACCCCAGAAGCCCACTCTTGTCACTTGGCTTGTTTGGTAGTGGGGATAGAACCCATGGCCCCACACATGCCTTGTTTAGGCAAGTGCTCTACTACGGGGCTATCCTGTAGCCTTGAGGGCAGTTATTATTTTATTGAGACAGCATCTCAAGTTGTCCGTGCTGGCCTAGAACTTGATTCATAGCTGAGGACAACTTTGGGCTTCTGATCCCTCTGCCTCTTGAGTGCTAGGACTACAGGCGTGTGCCACCCTATCTGGTGGCACATTTCCCAGCAATGCTGGGAATCAGACTTAGAAGTTCATACATGCCGGGCAAGCACTCTGTCCACTGAATTATACCGCCAGACCCAAGAGTGGTTAGTCTTAAATGTCCTTTGACCTGAGTGCGTATAGCGCCAGCGAAGGAGGCAGGCTGACTTCCGCAAGGGGCAGCTGGCTCCTTTATAAAGTACTGTCTCTTTTTCGGAGTCATGCATTCCTTCTGCTCGAGTATCTGTGAGTTCCAGGGACCCCGGGAGGCATTGTGACTTAGATGGGTGAGTCCCTGACTTCCTTCATGGGTGGGCTGGGGCGGCGAGGAGCTCCTCTGAGATGAGGTATTCACTCCATGCCTCCTCTAACTGCCAGGGAGGCCTCAGCTGACCTAATACCATCTTCCAGCATCCAAGAGCAGGCTTGGGCTGTGCTGCAGTCTTTCCTGTTGTCGGGCATCAGAGAGGTGGCCCCAGACACCTAAAATGTGTGCCTTTCAGGCCCAGTCAAGTCATCCCCTCCCAATCCATCCAATTGCCCAGCTGTGATGTCACCAGCACCTGTGAGCTGTGTGTATCTGAGGGTCCGCCTTGTTGGTAGATGCGGTGCCTGGCAGAGCTGGCAGCAGCCAGAGGATGAGGCCAGCTCTCGTGATTTTCTTCATGTCTACCCAGCTCTTGGAGCACATCAGGTAAACAGGTTCCTGTAGCAGGGAGGACTATAAAAGGACAACGAAGGGGCAGCAAGGCTGAGGTCAGGAGTACCGCTAGGATGGTGCCCTCACCCTTCACAAGACTGGGTGAAAGGGTTGGAAAGATAGCTCAATGGGTAAGAGCACTGGCTGCTCGTACAGATGACCCAGCACCCACATGGTGGCTTACATCTGTCCCCAGCTCCAGTCCCCAGGAATCCAATGCCGCCTTCTGGTTTCTTTGAACACCAGGCATGCACAGAGTGAACAAACAGGAGCAAAAACATTCATATACAGAAAATATAAATAGATCTTTAAGCAAAACAGGGTGGGGAGTGGGCTTGGGATATAGGTAGTTTTGGAAGGCCTCTGGAGGAACCTCAGGACAGGCCCAGGCATGTGGCATGGCCTTGCCACATGAAGGACCAGGATGAAGGACTTATGAACCCCAGGACTGAGGGAACTCAAGAGGTATGATGTGAGTGTACTTGTATCAGAATGAACAGAATGTAAAGTGTGGTAGCACACACCTTTAATCCCAGCGCTTAGAAGGCAAAGGCAGGCAGATCTCTGAGTTCCAGGATAGCTAGGGCTGCATAGAAAAATTATCTAGAAAAAAAACCACAAACAAAATAAATAAGTAAACAAACAAATCCTAACATGATATTTATAGGCCTTTAATTTTTTTTTTTTATTTAAAATTTTTTAAGGGCATGAGTGGTTCTTGTCTGCATGTATGTATGTGAAGTGTGTGGTGTGTGCCTAGTGTCCATGGAGGCCAGAAGAGGGCACCAGATCACACAGAACTGGAGTTACTGAAGGTTGTAGGGCAGCATGTGGGTGCTGGGGACTGAACCCCAGCCTTCCACAAGAACAGTTCACTTAACCACTAGGATACCTCTCCAGCCCCTAGCCTTTTTATTTTTTAAGACATATTTTTATTTTATGTGTACGGGTATTTGGCCTGCCTGTGTGTAAGCACACTTCTGGAGTGTCTGGTGCCGGCAGAGGCCAGGAGAGGAGGCCAGATCCCCTAGAACTAAAATTACAGGCCATGAAGCACTCACTGTGGGTGCTGGGAACCAAGCCGGGGTCCTCTGGAAGAACAGCAAGTGCTCTTAACCACCGTAGGTCCAGGGGACTGAACCTAGGATCTTGTTGGGGGACACTCAGTATGTCCTCCACCACTGAGCCCCACCCCCACAATTCAGGCACATCCCATCTCCATGGTTTTTCTTTTCTGAGACAAGGAAGGTCTCACACAGCCCAGGCTTCAGACTTGACAGGCAGGGATGGGTGATCTTTTGATCCTGCGGGGATCAGAGGCTTTTAATACTTCTGGTCTGTGGTGCTGGGGATTCAATCCCGTGGATGGAATCCCTGGTGCATGCTGGTCAGGAACTCTATCAGCAGATTCATAGCCCGGCAGCTTTTTCCTTCTTTCTCGTCCTCCTCCTATTCTTCTTCTATTTTTATTTTATTTTTCTCAACGCATAACTTTGTTAAAGGTAAAGACCATGCCTTTTACTATCACGTAACAAGTTAAAGGAAATTTCTGGACCGAAAACAACTTAAAATGATGGGGCCATTGCTTTATTTAGATGACCCTTCTATTTTTTTTAAATTTACTTAATTATATATACAAAGTTCTGCCTGTATGTACACTTGAATGCCAGAAGGGGGCACCAAATTTCATTATAGATGGTTGTGAGCCACCATGTGGTTGCTGGGAATTGAACTCTGGAAGAACAAGCAGCGCTCTTAACCTCTGAGCCATCTCTCCAGCCCTATTTGAAGTTATACCCAGCCTTTCTACTCAAAGCCCTGGGAGTGTTAGCTGAGGGGGAGGGGGTGCACGTGGGAGGGAGGGGCGGGGACGAAGACGACCTTTTCAGACAATATGAGGGACTCCCATACACACACAGCAATGGCAGATCAAGTCTCTGATGGACGTATACCCTCGGTATTGCGACTGTGTGCCTGAAGTTCTAAACAGGCATGCACTTAGGCATGACAAGGCATCCCTAGCCAGCTCCCCCTACCCCACCCCCGCGGCTATTTTTTTTCCCTCATCTTCAGCTGCCCTCCAAAACTGATCCCTTAATGGTGAGGGCTGTCCTCGGCCCCCTCGGCACATTTTCTTCCAAAACAACACCCTTCACGCCTAACAAGGTGTTTTGTCAAATTCAAGGAAAATTTAGGGGCTTAGGAGACTGAAAGAGTCAAGAGGGGCATTTGCGTCTTTTAGGAAGAATTCAAACACGTCTCCATCGGTAGGATGTGCCCCGGAGATCTTCGTGACACAAGGCCTCTTCCAGCAACACGTGCGAGCTACTCCAGTCCTCTTTTGTCACCAGGCTAGGCTGAGTGTCCCCTCGAGGAGAGAGCAAGCCCCGCGTTTGACGTCTGGGCTGCAAGGGTGGGCGGAGACACCGGGACGTGGCGCGCCCACTCGGGGAGCGTCCCCCAAACCTCAGCCCGGGCCTCTCCTGTCCCCGGCAAGAAGCCAGGGCAGAAGAAGGGCGGCGAGGTGCCCCGAGCACGCCTCACCTGCAGGGAGGGCACGGCCAGGGCTTTGATCCTCCGTCACACGGCCTGCCCGGGGCAAGGCGTGGGTTCTCTTCGATCCTTTCCGTCCGCCACCCACCGGGCGTTTCCACGCAGCCGTCGCCCGGGGCTGGGAAGCGGCGGACACCGGGGACAGCGAAGAGCCCCTCCACCTCGCGCCTAGGAGGCGGCGACAAGGCGGGGAGGGGCCGCCCGTCCCCCGGGGCCTGCGGCGCGCGTGGCTCGGTGTGCAGAGCGCGGCGCACGGACCCTGCTGGCTCGCCCTGCGTGCGGGGAGGATGCTGGCAGGCTGCCCCGGCCTGGGCCCGCCATCCGCAGCGTGCGCCGCCGCGGTTCCCTGCGCCCGCGGAGGCTGAGCCGCAGCCCCGCGCCTCTCCCGGCCCGAGCCGGGGCCTGACGGCGAGGGGACCAGCGCTCCGGCTCCGGGCGGACCAGCGGGCGCGGTGGCGCGGCGGGAAGCAGCCTGCGGCTCGCTGAAGCCCTCCTGGCCCGGCCCCGCAGCTCCGGTCCGGAGCGCGCGGCTCCCGAGTTCCCGCACAGGTCAGCGCCTGAGCCGGGATCCAGGGCTGGGCTTCCACGAGGCTCCAGAGCCCCAGGTTGGGAAGGGGCTGGATTCTCCCAGGGATGGGTGGGGAGAAGGAAGTAAACAGAAGGAAGATGAGGGAATCCCCAGGACCGCCCCGGCTCCTCCAGGCACGTTTTATTTTCAGCTTGGAGGGATTGGGCCTGGAGGGAATTTAGGTGAGGAAGTCCGGGAGAGAGCGGGGGATGTGAGGGATGGAGAGGTGGCTAGGCCCTTCCAGAAACGAGAGGCAGGAAAGCGGGTGTCTGGGTTGGACGGGGCTGAGGGTGTGTGGGCGTGCTTGGGAGGCTGTGGGGTTGGAGGCTTGTGTGGCGAGGATCTGTGAGGGGTAGGGTGGGTGGCGAGGAAGGAGGCGCTTCTACTTAACCATGTCCTTTTAAGTTGCAGATGATCGGTCCCACCTGTGTCCTGGGAACCCCCTCAGCATTCCCGCCCCGGGTGGACGCCCTTCATCCACAACCAAGAAGGGCCTCCCTGCCTTCCCTAGGTCTTGGGAAGCCCTGCTGAGTGGCTTGACCCGGACTCCTCCCTTCCTCGTCCGAAACAGCCACCAGCCAAGATGCCGAGGAACCAGGGCTTCTCGGATCCCGAGTATTCGGCAGAGTACTCAGCGGAGTACTCGGTCAGCCTGCCCTCTGACCCCGACCGCGGGGTCGGCCGGACCCATGAAATCTCTGTGCGGAACTCGGGGCCCTGCCTGTGCCTGCCTCGCTTCATGCGGCTGACCTTCGTGCCTGAGTCCTTGGAGAACCTCTACCAGACCTACTTCAAAAGGCAGCGCCACGAGACCCTGCTGGTGCTGGTGGTCTTTGCGGCCCTCTTCGACTGCTACGTGGTCGTCATGTGCGCCGTGGTCTTCTCCAGCGACAAGCTGGCGCCCCTCATGGTGGCTGGCGTCGGCCTGGTGGTGGACATCATCCTGTTCGCGCTCTGCAAAAAGGGGCTGCTCCCGGACCGAGTGAGCCGTAGGGTGGTCCCCTACCTGCTGTGGCTGCTCATCTCAGCCCAGATCTTCTCCTACCTGGGCCTGAATTTCTCACGAGCCCACGCAGCCAGCGACACGGTGGGTTGGCAGGCCTTCTTTGTCTTCTCCTTCTTCATAACGCTGCCCCTCAGCCTCAGCCCCATCGTGATCATCTCTGTGGTCTCCTGTGTTGTGCACACGCTCGTCCTGGGGGTCACTGTGGCCCAGCAGCAGCAAGAGGAGCTGCAAGGGATGCAGCTGCTGAGGGAGGTGAGTCCCACCTTCTTCCCCATCCTTCCTGTGCCCTCCCTTCCGCTCGCATCTCTCTCAGGTGGGATTGCTCTCAACGCCTGGAGCCTAATGTGTCCTGAGCGGCCTTGGGGCCCCAGTTGCTAGTGCAGGAAGGACCACCTGTCTCTCATCCCCTCAGGGGTGTGTACTCCCATGACATCTGGTGCTTATCCTAGAGAAAGTATGCAGGACATTGGCCCTCAGGGCTATTCGGCCACCTGTTCCTAGTGGAGTGGGTGACAGCACCTTGGAGTCCCGGTGTGAAGACAGGAACAAGGACAGCCTGCCATTCTGTCAGTGACCCAGGTCTAAAGACTTCTTGAGGCAGATTCTGGTCACTTTGGTTCCCTCCAGATGGGCTTTGATTTGTGTGAGTTCGGTGTTCTCTCGCAAGCGGGGATTCTGTCTGCCCTGCGTGAGGAAACGGCTGTTACTGAGATCCCAGGGAACCGGTGTGAAAGCTCGTTAGGGTATGTGAGGAGCTGTAAGGAGGGGAGCCGTGACTATCAGACACCTTGCTTCTGCCTCAGAATGTCAGCAGCAGATAAGTGATGCCAGGGAGGGTGGTCTCCCCATAGGAGGCAGGGTGTGGCGTGAAGCCTGGTGCTGGGGGCCTAGTGGGCTGATTCTGCCAGAAGGGATGGGAGGTTCAGGGTCAGCTTTACTAATCTGTGTTCCCACCAAGTGCTAAGAGAGACAGCCGGGCACCCAGAGACTGCAGGAGACGGATGGGCTGTGATTCTGGCCCGAGTTTACCTGGTGATACCATGGAGGGGGCCCCAGAGATGGGAGTCAATGAATTCTGTACCTTCCACTTTTTCACATGATGACCTGAGAGGGCGGGAAGTGACTGGTTACAGCCATCATGTACCTTCCAATCTGCTTCCTTCCCCCACTCCCCATACCTCACCGCTTCAGTCTTACCAAAGCCTTTGTCATTGCTTGGGGTTGGAGGCATAGCCTACAGCGGCCCCAGGGGTACGTCTGGTGGCCGGTGAGAGAACTTTGTGGGGCCATTCCATTGTCTCCCAGTTGTTTAGAGGAAAACATGGCTTCTGCTGGGTTTTTAACTTTATTTCTAGGTCTCAGTCCAATGTTCTTTCTGTATTCCCATTCTGGGTCAGTTAGGAACCTATTTCAGAGTTTGTTTGTTTGTTTGTTTGTTTTTTAAGTTATTCCTTATCTTGAGGCAGGGTCTCATGTAGTCCAAAGTGGCCTTGCTGTAGCCGAGGACGACTCTGAACACCGGGTTCCTCTTGCCTCTACCTGCCATGTGACAGGGTCACAGATGTGGGCGACCATGCTAAGTTAAATTAGTTTTCTGCATGGCTCAGCGCTAGACTAGAGCCTGTGGGGGTTTTTTCGAGACTGGGTTTCTCTGTATAGCCCTGGCTGTCCTGGGGACTCATTCTGTAGACCAGGCTGGCCTAGAACTCACAGAGATCACCTGCTCCTGCCCCCCTGGTGCTGGGATTAAAGGTGTATGCCACCACCACCCAGCTTTTTTTTTTTTTTTTTTTTTTTTTTTTTTTGTCTTCCTGATGCTGGTATTGAACACCTGTCATTGCTGTCATGGTTTCCTGGGTTGGTAGCTTCAGCTTATGACCCTGCTTGTGGATGGCTCTGTTGCGGGGGAGGATGTCCATAGTCATTGCTGTTGGGATTGGTCAGGATAGGTAGGTCTGGCAGCATTTGGGGCTTGGAGACATATTCTGAATCATTACCTTCCAATAAACGAGGACTTCTTCCTTTTTCCTCTTGGCCAGGGCCCCCAGCCTTGAGTACATTTCCCCAATGAGTTGTTTAGTGAGGAACTAATCAGAAACAAATCAGAGCAGAGAGCACAGGGCCTCTCCCCCACCCCCGCTTCTGACCACACCTGGAACTGCTTGTTGGCAGGAGACATTTGGGGTACAGAAAGCATCTTCTAGTGAAATTGAGCAATCCTGCCCAGAATGCTGAGATGGGGCACAGCGAGTGAGTGTGTGTGTGTGTGTGACGACAGAGATTCTAGGTTTAGGGAGAGCAGACTTGAGTGACTGGAGATAGTGTGTCTCCAGGGGGTCAGCAAACCAGTGACCAGATTACAGGAGGAGCTGTTTCCTGGGTGTGGTCCAGGAAGGTTTTCCTGCAGGTTCTTTGGTGGAGGGACCTGATTCCTACTTCAGCTCTGTGTGAGGGGGGTGGGGTGGGGCTGGTGTGGTGTTAGCCTATAAATGTGACCAGCCGGGTGTGGGGGGGGGCAGGAGAGACAGGGTATATGAAGTCCATTTAGAAGGAAGCTGCTGCCAGCCGATGGAAACTGGCCAGCATTGAGCCGTGTCTGGGATATTCCACTCTTCTGCCAGATTCTCTACTTACGCCTTCTGATTTGGTCTAGGATCATTTGGAGGGTGTTAGCACAGGTGAGGACCTAGGAGAGCAGATAGTCTGGAGGCCCTCAGGTCATAGGATAAGCAGCTGTTGCTCATTGGCAGCAAAAGTGAGGAGAGAGCCCAGGTGTGCTGCGTCACCGACCAGGACCCCACCATGGCAGTGGGGGCATATTGTCTCCTTATCCTGAGAGCAGGATCCTGGCTTCTCTTCCTTGTCTCTTGGGGACAAGTCCTCTCTCTACCCGTTTGTGGTCGTCATCCATATCTCAGTAGAAGGCAGAGCTTGTAGCGAGTCATCTCCTTCTTTGGGCCTTGACTTAGCTACTCTGAGGCCCCCCGCTCTGAGGTTTGTGTTGGTATTGCAGGCCTGTGTCAGTCTGGGCCTCATCTTTTCCAGTCAGCAAGAAACTTAACCTGGAGGCTCCTGGAGGAAAAGGCTCTAGACAAGGTATAGCCTACAGGGCAAGTCCCTGGAGATCAGTTTTGAACTCAGGATTACTGGTCTTAAAAGAGACCAGGAATGCAAAAAAATAAAATAAAATAAAAAAATAAAGAGCCCCAACTGGAAACTGGAAGAAAGGTAAAAATAGTAACTCCAAGAATAAAAATATTAGAGACTGGGAGTATAACTTAGAGGTAGAGCGTTTGCCTAGCATGCTTGGGGCTCTCTGAATTGGATCCCCAGCCCCCAATAAAATAACATGTACATATATATTTATAAAATAAAATGTACGATAATAAGAATTTTCATGTTCCCAGGAGAATGACCTTGGCATGAAATTGTGCCTGGATCTTGGGATAGAAGGAGGAAAGGAGGCCCAAGGTTAAGTCGGGAGCCTGAGATAGAAAGCTGGAGACCAGCTTTTACAGTACATGTTCCAGAAACTTCTGAGTCACTTGTTTGGGGCCAAAATGACTTTTCTTTCTTTTTTTTTTTTTTTTTTTTTTTTTTTGGGTGTGTGTGTGATTTGTTTATTTTTATTTTACATATTTTGGTATTTTGCCTGCAAGTATGTCTGATCTCCTGGAGTTTCAGACAGCTTTGAGCTGACATGTAGGTGCTGGGAATTGAACCCTGGTCCTCTGGAAGAGCTTAACCATTGAGCCATCTCTCCATATCCGAAATGTGACTTTTCAAAAGGTGCCTAGTTTCCGAGGCCCACTCAGCAAAGTCTTCCTTCACTTACAGCCTTTCTACAGTGCCTCTCTGGGTCCTGTGGGGACCAAGGCCCACAGCGTTGCTGTGGGGACAGGTACCTAGGCCCATCTCCCCTGGGTGTGGAGAAGTGCGTCATTCTTTCACCCTAGTGCTTGCCTGTGGGATAGGAGCTCCCTTGGGAATGAGGGCAGGGGAGTGAGGGCCAGGTGTTCACGTCCTCTGTCAGGCAAACTCCCAAGAATTTCCTCAGACCCCACCTGGGCCCAATTTTCTTCTTTAATTCTTGCCCATGGCTTCCTCCTTCTCTCTCTTCCCCTTGCTTGTTGGCTCTGCCCAGGTCTCTCTCCTGGGTCATGGAGATGGCTCAGTTTCACACAGGACACCTGCGGCTCTGGCTTCGTCTTGTGGTTTTGGTTAAGACTGTAAGTAGCATGAGGCAAGCATTTCCCATGCTGGAGTCTACCAAGGTGCCCACACAGCCATGTCTGTACTTGGCTCTGGTGGGAAGGCCTGAAGGTCGACCTGGGATTTGTGGCAACCTCACATCTTGTCCTTGGCTCTTCTCAAGGGGCCAGCCAATGGGGTTCCAGTGAGGCGCCCATGTGCAGGTAGGCGGGTGGCACCGGGGTGATGTCGGGCTTTGTAGATCAGGTAATGAGAGGATCTTACAGAGGGAAGAGTAGAGCCTTGCAGCCTTTGGGTCTGGGACAAAGAGGCCAGCTAGGGGGTTCTCAGGCTGTGGTTGGGAAGGTCTAGACCTGGGGCAGACTGGGGAGGAGGACGAATCAGGAGGAGCTGCCAGCTCCCTCATCCGGGTTCTGACATCTCTGCCTCTTATAGCACAGCCTGCCCTAATACCCATGGGATGAGGTGAGGAAGCCAAACAGGCAGAACGTGGAGCAGCAGCTGATGGTTGGGAATGAAGGGAGTGAGACAGGGTGGAGGGTGGAAGACGTAGCCAAGGCGGTGATGAGCACGCCTCTGCTTCAGAGGGCCTTGCTCATACAGGCTTATGTGAGCCTCTGCTATGTGTCCGAGGTGAATGAGGGCCCGGCAATCTCTGACAAATAGTTTGTAGACTGACTTCACAGCCGGAAGGCTATTTGGGAGCCAAATGTGTATTGTACACACTGTCCTCTTGCACGCTGGAGGTGACTAGCCCCATCTCACAGATGAGCACACTGAGGCTTAACAAGGTCAGGGGAGGCAGGGAGGGCTAGATTGCTGGAGAGTCACCTGTAAGTGGCATGGAGGGGGTTTGAACCAGGCACCCGGGCCTCCTGCCTGCTGCTTTGATCACCCAAATGCCCTTGTCAAAGAGATGGGAGGCCCTGGAATGTGTCCCCCCTGGGAAGTGCAGGGAGGGGAGAAGCCTGAAACAGAAAGTTCTTTGTGAAGCTGTGGCCAGGTGTATGTGAGAAATGGAGAAGAGTGAGGGCAGCGAG